TACACTGTGGCTCCCTTCGCTTTACCTGTGCTCACGGTCTCCTCTGCTGCCCAGGGAGGGAGCGTCTCGGCTGAGGAAGGGACGCCGAGGCCAAGCGGCGTCTCTGCGCTTGCGCACGTACGGTGGCCGGAAGGAGCCAAAGGCGGAGCCGCGGGCGACAACTGCGAACCCCACCCTTTTCCCCGGGACCCGGTGAGGAACGCCGGCCACCGGGCCCGCGCTGGGCGCAGCTGGGAGCGGGCGTCGTGGGCTCGGGCTGGTGGCGTCTGCGCGGCCCTCAGGGACGTGGTATGGTGGAGGACAGTCGGAACCGATGCCTCTCCTCTCTGGGGTGCACGGTTTCCGTTCATTTCATTCATTTGTGCTGCGGCTGTGCGCCGCTGGGGCAAGGAGGGCAGGACGTGCGGGACGGTCGGTGTGGCTCAGGGGTTCAGGGGTCCTGCTGTGCACGATGGTGATGAGCAGGCGTGGTTGCTGCATCTGTCATGTATGCTCTCGGGAGGCGGAGGCAGGAGTATTGCTGTGAGTTCGAGACCGGCCTCAGCTGCGTAGCCAGACGGCGTTTCAGAATAAAAACCGAACAAAAGAGCAAGAACAGGCGTTGTGGTGAGCTCGAGAATCGGAGGCAGGAAGATTGCTGCGCGTTCCATACCAGTTTAAGCTGCCTAGCTAGACCCTGCCTCAAAAACAAGTAATCAGGGGTTTGTTGGAAGAGTTTGGAGGATCGGGAGTTCGTGCACAGCTTTAGCTGCAAAGCGAGTTAGAAGATAGTCAGGTCTACATGAGGTCCTAGCTTACAAAAAACAAAAACGGAGGGAATCATTGAATGGGAGAGTAGGGCTGCTTGAACGAGGCTGTTTTTATTTCACTTATTGTTTTGTTTTGTTTTTTTGAGACAGGGTCTCACTATGTAGAGCAGGCTGGCCTGGAATTCACAGCAGAAGTGAATTATTCAGAAGTCCACCACTTCTGTCTCCAGTGTGTCTAGGTTTGTTTGTTGATGATTTTCAGAACAGGGTTTCTCTGGAACTTGCTTTGTAGACCAGGCTGGCCTTGAACTCAGAGACTAGCCTGCTTCTGGTTTACTCATGCTTTTTAATAATAATAGTAATAATAATAATAAATTTTAAAATTGTTTTTAATGTTATTTGTGTTTATATTATAATGTGTGCGTGTGTGTGTGCTCGCGCGTGCATGCACACTCACAGCACTTGTGGAATCAGCTCTCGGTCTTCACCGTGTGGGGTGCAGGGATGAGCTTTTGTTGTTTTTTTCCTTTTTGAGACAGCCTCTTGTAGCCCAGGCTGAGCCTGCTGAGGTGGGGGGCGTACCACTACCCTGACTGACTCATGATTTCAGAGTGAAAGGGCAGGTGTCAGTTGTTATAAAGAACTGTATCAGGAGAGCTTGATAACACTGGTTATGGACTGTGTATTAGAAAACAGTATTCAGGCCAGTGAGGGGGCTGTCAGGTTAAAGCACTTAACTGCCAAACCTAATGACTGGACTTCAATACCCAGAACCCCCAGGCTGGAGAAAACTGATAATTACAAGTTGTTCTCTGGCCTCTGCATGCTCACATAGGAGATGTAAGCCGACATTTACACATGGATAAAATGCAGTTTTCAAAAATTTAAATGGAGATCAGTCAGGCTTGGTGGGGGACCATGTTAACATGCATGAGACCCTGGTCACTGTCCCCTGTACTGCCAAATAACATTGTCATCTGTTGTATTTTGTTTATGCCTTGGTATATAAGTGAATGCCTTCCCCCCACACCCTGCATTTTGGGTGGATTGTTTATTGAGAACAGGTTTCATGCAACCTAGGTTCGCCTGGAACTCCCTGTATAGCCCAGGCTGTTTCTTGAACTCCAGATCCTCCTGCCTCAGCATCTCATGTAAAGCCTCCTTAATGTAAGCTACTGTATTATACTGTCTTTGTACACAGTTACATAGAAAATTATATTTAACTATGAGATGAGATTCAGGGGCCAGTGAGATGGTTCAGTGGGTAAACGTGCTTGCTGCTCAGTCTAATGACCTGAGTTCAAAATCCCTGGGACCCACATGGTGGAGGGAAAGAGTCCTGACAGCTGTGGAAGGGTTATGCATGCATGCCCTCCCCCACACAGATCATAAGGAAAAATGTCACAAGAAACATCATAATTGTCTTTTGGGGGAGAGGGAATTTAATTTAGCTGAAAGCCAAGTTTGTTTTCAGATAGGGTCTCATTATGTAGCTCTGGCAGGCCTGGACCTCTGTATGTGGACAAAGCTGTCCCGGAACTCCCAGAAATCCACCTGCCTCTGCTTGCCAAGTGCTGGCGTGGCAACCTGGGCTCTTCTGCACTTTTAGAAGCTCTGAGGAGAAGCCAGGGTGATGTAGGTGAGAAGAGTGTTCTCATTGTTGTCATTATTGTGGCCTGGTAGACTACATAAGTGGCCTTATTTTCTTTCTCCTTCTGTTTTATTCATTTTATTTTATATGTGTGGGCATGGCCTGAAAAAGAGTCAGAAGACAGCTTTTGGGAGTCATTTCTCTTTACCATGCTGGCTCTTAGGACTGAGCTCAGATCTTCAGACTTGGTACCAAGGACCTTTACCCACTGAGCCATCTCACCAGCAGTCCTTTGCTTTTTCCTTTTTTTTGTTTTTTTTAAAGATTTTATTTATTTATTATGTATACAACATTGTGCTTCCATGTATATCTGCACACCAGAAGAGAGCGCCAGATCTCATACGGATGGTTGTGAGCCACCATGTGGTTGCTGGGAATTGAACTCAGGACCTCTGGAAGTGCTCTTAATCTCTGAGTCATCTCTCCAGCCCCTCCTTTTGGCTTTTTGAGATAGTGTCTCACTGTGTAGCCCAGGTTGGCCTCCCACTGGTCAGGACCCTTGTGTCTCTGCCTCCCTAGTGCTGTGATCACAGGTGTGCCCAAGTGGCATTTTCACCACTAGCCAGACCCTCAGTTGCCTGCTGTCCCCTGACCAAATGTTCCTTTCCATTCAGCATGCAGAGATGGCTTCCAAGCGCATCACGCAGGAGACCTTTGATGCTGCAGTAAAGGAGAATATTGAGGAGTTTGAGATGGGTGCTGAGGAGGCTGTTCAAGAGGCTGTGGAGCAGTTTGAATCACAAGGTAGGGTGGTGGGCTCAGTACTGGCTGTTAGATGCCACAGCTTTCAGTCTGTCACTACTAACCCCATCCGTGCCTGTCTCCATGCATCACCAGCACCCCGCCTCACCTTTAATGTGCCACGTCCTAGAGTCAGTGAGTCATGGAGGATAGTGGTAGCAGGGTGACTGGGTGACAGTGGTGCTTCTGGTAGGGTTTGGAGACCTTACGCCACATGGCAAGGAGCAGAAGCTCAAAATGAGTGTGACCAAGTGTGCTCCAAGCCATTGGTAAAGACCTCGTGCTAGGTATGAGCACACTTATTCCCTTTTGTTATTGGTCTCAGTCTAGCTCTCTATTGGAACAGTGAAGTCAGCAGGTCTGCCTCCAGGGCACAGAAATGGGGTGCCCTAGTGGGCAATCAAGTAAACACTGGGAGAGGTAACTCACCGCTAAAATGCTTTCGGAGTTTGTCCCCAGAACCCACATTAAAAGCTAGCCATGATGAGGTATGTTTGTTTTTGTTTCTGGGGGGGAGGGTTGTTTGTTTGGGTTTTTTGTTTGTTTGTTTAGTTTGGTTTGGGGTTTGGGGGGCTTCTTTTTTTTTGGAGGGAGTGTTTGAGACAGGATTTCTCTGTGTAGCCCTAGCTGTCCTGGAACTTGCTCTGGAACTGGCCTCAAACTACCTGCCTCTGCCTCTTAAATGCTGGGATTTAAGTCATGCGCACCACCACCCCACCACCACAATGGGGTGTGTTTGTAATCCGAGCACTAAAAGGCGGAGATAGGTGGATTGTTGGGGCCTGCCAGCCAGCCAGTTTAGCCTGATTGGTGAGCTCCAAGTTCCAGTGAGATCCTGTCTCAAAAGGATTACAGCTCCTGAGAATGATACCTGAGTTTGACCCTAGACCTCTATGACCCTTGCACGGGATCACCCCCTGCCACACACACATGAACACCCTCCACCTGATCCTCCACACACATGGACACCCCCACATAACCATCCACACACATGGACACCCTCACATGGCCATCCACACACATGGACACCTCCACCTGATCCTCCACACACACACGAATACCTGCATGCCCCAACACATGCACACACACAAACATCCTCAAGCACACAGTGTCCAACAAAACACAGCATGGTGATACATGCCTGTGATTCCAGCTCTTTCTTATCTTTAGTATTGTTTTTTGTTTTGTTTTGTTTTTAAGACTGCTTTATATAATCTAGGCTAGCTTCTTAACTCATTATGTAGCTAAGGCTAGCTTGAACACTGATCCTCCTGCATCCACTTCCCAATGTTGGGATAACAAGTATGCAGCTGATCTCACTCATTGGGAAGTTGAAACGGGAAGATTACTTTGAATTTGAGGTCAGCCTGAGCTACATAACAAGACACTACCTCAAAATACTTACCCCCTAGCTGATGTGGTGACACATTCTCTTAATCCCAGCATTTGGGAGATACAAGAATGTAGACCTCTGCCAGGCGATGATGATGCACACCTTTCTCTGAGTTCAAGGCCAGCCTGGTCTACAGAGTGAGTTCCAGGACACCTGAAGCTACACAGAGAAACCCTCAAAAAAAAAAAAAAAAAAAAAAAAAAGAATATAGACCGACCTCTATGAGTTTAAGGCTAGCCTGCTCTACATAGTGAGACTCTATCTCAAAAACAACCAAATAAAAAACCTTCTAAACCGCACAGAAGTGCCTACCACAGCAGGGATGCCTTTGGGGCCTCAGAAGGCAGAGATGTAGATGGGACCAGAAGGGGTTCAAGTTCAAAGGGAGAGGCTCTGTGGGTTCCCCTCATTTGTCTGCCATGCAGAATCTGCCACCTCAATACCCAGAGACAGCATGCGTGGCATGGCCTTCCTTACTCAGCAATGGTGGCACACTCACGCTGTGCAGCCTGTGGCCTGTGCACCTGGGGGGACAGTTGGGAAGAACCCCGGAAGCGGGCCTTTGTCAGGGACTTCCTAACCTGAGGGATTTGAGGAATAGGTGTCACTTGTCTCCAGCAGCCCCGTCTTCCCCTCTGCAGGGGTTGATCTGAGTAACATCGTGAAGACAGCACCCAAAGTGTCATTGGACAGCCTCCAGGAGCCCACACATGATGTCCTGCAGGTAGGAGCGGCTATCTCCTTCGTCACTGGAACAAATGCTCTGGAGGGTCTCTTCCCCATGTCCCATGTGACTGAAATCAGGATCTGAATGTCAGGGTCTATACATCTTGTGACCAGTAGAGGTCTACAGTCATGTGTCCCAAGTCCCAAGCTGAGCTGCTTGGAGGACATGTTGGAGACACACAGTACATGTGGACTCTCACTGCCCAAGGTCAAGGGTATACAATATAGCAAGGGTCTCTGGCCAGCTTTGTGTGGGTTCTGGGGATCTGCACTCATGTCCTTGTGCTTACACAGCAAGTGTCATTCCCCTCCCTCCCCCTCCCGCCATATCCCAGTCCTTCAGTTTTATTTAGGAAAAAAAAAAAAAAAAACAGCTCAGGTCGTGGTGTGGTAGTACACACCTTAATGCCACTGCTGGGGAGGCATAGTGAGTCCAGGCTAGCCAGGGCCACGTAATATGATCCTGTTTCAATAACAGCAGCAAAATTCTTTTTCAAGACAGGGTTTTTCTGTTGTCCTGGAACTAGCTCTTGTAGACCAGGCTGGCCTCGAACTCACAGAGATCCTCTTGCCTCTGTCTCACGAGTGCTGGGATTAAAGGTGTGCACCACCACACCTGATTGGGGTGTACTGAGATGTACATATGAGGGTCAGAGAACACCTTTCAGCAGTTTGTTGTATCCTTGCATAGAAGCACCTTTGCTCACTAAGCTACCTCGCTGGCTCCTTGGCTTGCTGTTTTAATCTTCTATTCCCTGTAACATGCTCTGCCAAGGTTCTTAAGGCTGCCAGCAGGCGTCTCTACCTGACTTGGTAGCTGAGTTCAAACAAAGTCACCTAGGCTGCTGGTTTCAGCTGAGCCTCTCTTTCATTGGTGCATTGCCAGCAACCTCAGGAGTACTGGGGCTCATCGACTTAGCTGTGCCTCACATTGTGGCACATCCTGAGGTAATGCCGATTGCCACCCAGACTGGCTGGCTCTGTGTTTATTTTTCCCATAATTCCCCAGATAGCTTAGAGCTACCCCTGGGAAATATGTGAGTGATGCGGCTTCCCTGAGCTGGGTAAGTATCTGGAGAGTGCTTGAGAGGGAGCTGTCCAGATGGGCAGGTTCTCCTTCTAGAATCACTCTCGTCAGTTACCCTTTACATCGGCCCTTGCAGCAGCCACTGCAGTGACTCTAATGACTTTCATCTGCTGCTCTGTCAGGCACTGCTTTGTGCCATTAGCGTTAGACTCCAGCGTGTTTTCACTCACATGTGCAACTGCTTAGCAGGGCGACTGAGTTCACAGGGTTCTAAAACTACCAGTGTGGAGCAGTGATAGAGCACATGTCTAGCATCCAGGCCCTGGGTTCTATCCTCAGTTCTATTGTAAAAAAAAAAGAAAGGTGCTGTCAAGAATGCTCAACAGGAAAAAGTGTTTGTCATCAAATCTGATGACCTGAGTTTGATCCTCAGGACTCACATGGTAGAGGGGAGCCCTGATTCCCATGAGTTGTCCTCTGCTCTCTGCATGTATGTTGTGGGGTGTGGCTGCATACAACATATAGGTAATTTTTTTTAAATGAAAAATAAAAAAATTGAGAGCTGGGGATGTATGTGACTCACTAGCCACTGCATGAAGCCCTAGGTTCAGTGCCTGATTCTTAAAAAGACAGGCGGAGAAGGGCTGAAGAGCTGGCTCTGCGGTTAGGAGACTGGCTGCTCTTATACAGGGCCCAGGTTCCGTTCCCAGCACCCACATGGCAGCTCACAACCATCTGTAACTCCAGTTCCAGGGGTGTGACATCCTCTTCCAGCATCCTCAGGCATCAGGCACATAAGTGGTTCATAGACACATGCAGGCAGAACACCCATAATACATAAAATATAATCAAAGCTGTTCTTTTTAGTAAGGTAATTATATGGTGGCTCATACTTGGATCCCAGCATTCAGGAAGCTGTTGCAGGAGGTTTCCTATGAGTTCAAGGCCAGCCTGGGCTATGTATCAAGACCCTGTCTTGGCACTGAAGAGATGGCTCAGCAGTTAAGAGCACTTGCTGCTTTTCCAGAGGACCCAGGTTCAGTTCCCAGCACCCACATGGTGTGACTCACAAAAGCCTGTAACTCCAGCTCTGAGGGATCCTACTTCCTATTCTGGCCTCTGAGAGTATTGAGCACATGCACACTTAAAAAAATGAAGATCCTGTCTTAAAATAGCAGTCTAGGCATAGGAATTTCCAGATGGATCTAGCCATCCTGGGCCCAGATTTTGGGGTGAGGCTTCCCATGTGCGGTTCAGAGCCTAGCAGCCCCGGCTAACACACTGACATTCTCCGCAGGCTCTTAATGATCTGCAGGAGTCCCTGACTGGGTCTCGGCCCCAGGAGGTGTCGGCCCACCTTGCCCGATTCTGTGACCAGTGCAGGCAGCAGAAGGCCAGCCGGTACCTGGCAGCTCAGAAGGGGGCCTACCCAATCCTCCTGGCTGCCTGGCAACTGGCTGCCACAAGCGACCAGGGCCTTTTGCTCCAGGCTCTCAATGCCTTGGCTATGCTGACTGATGGCCAGCCTGACCTCCTGGATGCCCAGGGCCAGCAGCTGCTCGTGGCCACGCTGGCACAGAATGCCGCCAACACTGACCTCACCTGCTGTGGGATCCGCTGTGTGCGCCATGCCTGCCTGAAACATGAACAGAATCGGCAGGGCCTGGTGAAAGCCGGAGTGTTGCCCCTGCTAACCGCTGCTATTACACAGCATAGCCAGCACGCCGATGTGGTCAGGGAGGCCTGCTGGGCCTTGCGTGTCATGACCTTTGATGATGACATCCGAGTGCCCTTTGGCCACGCCCATGAGCATGCCAAGATGATTGTTCAGGAGAACAGAGGTCTGAAGGTGCTCATTGAGGCTGCCAGAGGTAGGAGCAGCATTGGTAAGAATGCGGTGGGTGGGCTGACAGGGTGACCCAACCATACAACCCCTGCCAAGGAACCCCCTCCCAAGTGAGGGACTTGGGGCATGGCTCAGGGGTAGAGCCCCTGCCTAGGCTCCCTCAGTGAGGGGTTGGGGGCATGGCTCAGGGGTAGAGCCCGTGCCTAGGCTCCCCCAGTGAGGGGTTGGGAGTGTGGCTCAGACACCTGCCTGGATACAGGATGTCTTGGGTTTATTCTAGAACTGTAAATCTAACAAAGCAGCCCTACACTTCTGTCATATGTAAGTACTTTGGCACATCCATGTGTCCAGCTTCAGGTGGCTGCTATGAGTTGCTGTGGGCAGTCATGTTGAGCTTCATACCTTAAATCTTCTGTCTTCCAACCTGCCCCTTTCATCCATTTGAAATGTCTGAAAGAGCTGGCTGTAGTGGTGTCATGGTGACACACACCTTTAATCCCAGCACTTGGCCTAGACTCTGTGAGTCTAGGCCAGCCTGGTCTACAGAGTGTCATTGTCAGCTAGAGACCTCAAGGTCACATTGGAAAACTTGTTCTGGTGGTTTGGTTTCCTTCTTCCTTCAAGACTGTTTCACTATGAAGCCCTGGTACTTGTTATGTAGACCAGGCTACCCTGGAACTCACAGAGATCCCTCTGCTTCTGCTTCGAGTGCTGGGATTCATATGTGTGTCACGCACAGCCTAGACTTCTTTGCTTAGGGGATGCCAGAAGCAGCTCTGCAGTTAGTTGCCTCACTGTGATGTAATAGTTTCTGTAGCTGCTGCCAGGGGGCATGGCAGGCCCAGCCAGGAGCTAATTCTCCCTTGGGCCTGTTGGATGACCCCAGCCAGCTTGTGAAGTGGGGAGTTGGCACAAGACTAATATTTGTGTGTTCCTGGACCCTCCAACTCTCGCTTCTGCCTCTGCACAGCGTTTCCTGACAACCCGGGAGTCCTGAGTGAACTCTGCAGCACCTTGTCCCGCCTGGCTGTGCGGAATGAATTCTGCCAGGAGGTCATCGACCTCGGAGGCCTTGGCATCCTTGTGACCCTGCTGGCTGACTGCAGTGACCACCAGGTGGAGCCCAAAGTCTTCCTCCTTTCCCAGGGCTCCTGCCTCTAAGGCCACAGCTAGCCAGACCCCACTGAGGAGAGAGCAGGGTGACGTTTTGGGTTCAGAAGGCCCACCCGTACTCTCAGGTTCTGGTCCCATTCTGCCTTTTCTTTCTCTCTCTCTCTCTCTCTTTTTTTTTTCCTTGTTTCCCAAAACTGGTTTGACTTAAAGCCCCTTGCATGCTAGCCCTCTGCCACCAAGTCACACTGCAGCCCGTTTTACTGTCTTTTGAGACTGGTCTTGCTCTGCAAAGCCCAGGCTGTTTTGATATTGTAATCCTCCTACTTACTTCCAAGAACTGGGATGACAGACTGTGTGTGTGTGTGTGTGTGTGTGTGTGTGTGTGTGTGCATGCATGAACACGTGTTTGCATGTTTGTGTGTGAGAAAGAAAGAAAGACAGAGTGAGGCAGAGTCACAAGGTCTCATGTAGTCCCAACTGGCCTTGAATTTGATCTGTGTGCTACCTTGCCCAGACACAATGTGGTTGGTGTGAGTGCTAGAACTCCATCTTGTGTGGGGCAACCACACAACCAGCTGAGGCACTGCTCGGTCCCACTTGCACATTCTCTACCATGAGCAGGAGTGAGGAAATTGAAATACCGTCCTTAGTTCAGTCTCAGTCCTCTCTCTGGGCCACATCTCATGCCCTACCCATGTCAGGTGCATTAAGCAGGTCACCCACAAGACCCAGCCTGTTGTCCTCCAGTCTGCCCTTTCTCTGTATGGTGGGTCATGATCCTGTTGTCACAGGCCAGCCTGTCACCCTGGGATGGCCACATGTGTTCCAACACAAACAGACAAAGAGATTTTTTTTAAAATCCCCTCCCACCATTCAGAAAGCAGAAGACTTACAGCTGGCACATAAGCCAGGATGATCTCACCTTGCCCTCCACACAGGACCTTGTGAAACAAGTGCTCAGCGCCCTGAGAGCCATTGCAGGCAACGACGATGTGAAGGACGCCATCGTCCAGGCAGGCGGTACAGAGTCCATTGTGGCTGCCATGACCCCACACTTAGCCAGCCCCCAGGTACCTACCTCAGAAACATGGACAGGACAATGGCAGGGTCTACAGAGATTGCCACCTCACTGTCAGCAAGACTAGGTGAAGGCCTGAGGTGCTCCTGGTAAGCTGCACCCCATTGGGTTCTCACGGGGGTCAGTGCCCTTACCACCCCTGAGCACCCAGCCACCACTGCTGTGACACACAAGCCAGCAGAGGCCCCCCTGAGGGGAGTTGCAGGATATCCAGGGTGGGATGGCCTGTGGTCATGGTGGCACAGGGAGGTGGGAATCTGTTCATCAGCCTCAGTTGTCCGTCCACACTCAGGTTTGTGAGCAAAGCTGTGCGGCACTCTGTGTCCTTGCCTTACGGAAGCCCGAGAATAGCCGGGTCATTGTGGAGGGTGGTGGAGCACTGGCCGCACTACAGGCCATGAAAGCACACCCACAGGAGGCCGGTGTCCAGGTGAGTGAAGGGCCGAACTCGCCATAGCCGTGAGACTGCAGGTTCCCTTTCCTTCTCATCGTCTTAAGTGTTTTGAGCCGGGTGTGGTAGCTATGATCCCAGTCCTCAAGAGGCAGGGTTGCCACAAATTCAAGACCGGCCTGCCTTACAGAGTGAGTTCCAGTACAACCTGGGCACTGTAGCACACACACACACACACACACACACACACACACCAACCACACACACACATCACACACACACCACACACACACCACACACACACCACACACACACCACACACACACACCCTACCTCTGCCTGAGGGTTATATTTATCTCCTTTTCTGTCTTTTTTTTGAGACAAGATCTGATGTAGCCCAGGCTGGCCTCCAACTCTTTTGGCTACAAGAACAATCTTCAACTTCTGATCTTCCTGCCTTCCCCTGCTGAGTGCTATAGTGACAGGCCTGTGCCCCTACACTCATAATGGGGACAGACCCCAGGGCCTATTACATGTTAGGCAAGCACTCTACCAACTGACCCCCACCCTGCTTTTGCTTTGAAACAGGCTGTAGCTCTGTAGCTGCTTTAGGCCTGCCTGTCAGGGTCATGCGTCCTCAACCTCCTGAGCACTGGATCAGTCTGTGCCATTATGTCTGGCTGACACTCCCTAACATTGTCATCATGCACATGGCATCCTCATGTAAACCAGTTCTCTGCAGACCCAGCTGTGGCAGATGTTACCTGTGCATCAGGGATTTTAAAATCTGTGAAGGTTCCTGAAACCAACCCTGATGAGTGACTCCTTGAGAAATAAACTTTGGCACTCCATGGCCTAACTGCAGCGTGGCCTCACTGTAGCATATCCAGGGCCTGCCTCAGGGGACTATGGGTAGCTGTCTGACCTGACATCATAGACTCGGTCCCAGACACTTTCCTGAGTGCTCACCTAGGAGATGTAGATGGGACTGAGAAGGCCATGTGAGAACACAGGGTTAGCCTTACCCAGCAAAGCTGTCTACTGAATGTCTGTCTCATGCTCTAAGGAGCACACTGAGGTCAGAGTGGACCCCAGGCAAGCCCCCACATTCATTCCCACGTCTCTTCCAGAAACAGGCTTGCATGCTGATCCGAAACTTGGTGTCCCGTAGCCAGGCCTTCTCCAAGCCCATCCTCGACCTGGGGGCAGAGGAGCTCATCTCACAAGCCCGAGCTTCCCACCCAGACTGTGAGGATGTGGCCAAGGCCGCATTACGAGACCTGGGCTGCCGCGTGGAGCTTCGAGAACTGTGGACAGGAAAGAGGGGTGACCTGGCACCGTGACCTTGGCTCAGCGAACTCTGACTCCAGAACATGGGAGCTGCCACTCTGTCCCCACCCATGCCACCCAGAGCAAAAGTGTTTAGCAGGTCAGTGGTGGGGAAAAGGGCAGGAGCAGCCCTTGGGGCCTGTGTCCCCACAGGCAGCAGTGGTGACCTAGTGGCCCACCCCTTCCAGTGCCCTTTCCCGCCCACAGTTTTTCCTGGCAGTTCTGGGGCAAAGGACATATGGGACTGCAGCATTATGTTGGAGTTTGGGGCCCCTGCAAGCCAATGTCCCAACAGGGCCAGCCACTGGGCTGCAGTCCAAACACCACTCTAGCTCCTGAGGCAGGGCCATGGGAGAGGTGCTTCCACCAAAGTTAGTTCCCTAAGACCCACATGGATCCACATGGGGGCAGGGAAGAGACTCCTGCAAATTGTCTTCTGAACTCCATATGTACACTGTGATGTGTGCACACACACACACATAATAAATAAATGTAATTTTAAAACTCTGCTTCTCATTTTTCTTACCTGTAAAATGGGCCCACAACTCCTGGCACTGCTGGCAGAGTGAGGGATTTCAGACTCACCCATCGTAGTCTGCCCAGGTTCCTGATACTGCATCCTGCAGATGCAGGCTTAGAGGTCTCCATAGCTCTGAGGGACTGTGACTATGGTTTTGGAGAGAACCGGGCACTGGACCCCTCGGGTTGCTATAGGCACTAGAGGTGTTTGGGCCGTAGCCTGGACTATATAGGCCATTGAGGTCAGGGTCAGTCTGCTGGGGGAGCAGAGACAGCACAGCCCCAGCCAAGCTCTGGCTGTGCGCAGGTGTCTGACTTGTTGGAGCCTTGCTGTGTTTCTATACTTTGAGGTGTGTTGGGTGAGGAGGGGGACAGGTCATTGGCTCCAGTACCTGTCACCCCAAGAAGGGTGACACCCTGTCATCTCTCACTGAGTGTCTTAGCCCATTTCTCGCTGAGCCTCAGTTTCCCTCAAATGCCGACACCACCTCCCCAACATTCTGCCTGTCATACCTCATAGGCTTCCCTTCCCCCCTCATAGCTCTAGACCTAGTGTGCTTTTCCCAGAAGGCTGTTGGTTTCCATGGGAACCAGTCATTTCTGCAGGCTGCTTTGATGTGTTGGGAAGGGGGTTATTCTAACTCAGCCACTCAGATGTCCAAGCCTCCCCCACTGGACAGGGAGAGGCCCTGCCAATGCAGACATGAACCTTGGACCAGGTCACCCCGCCCTTCTCCACACTTGGAACCTGCCAGGATGTAGGTGAAGGGCCTTCTTAGTCCCATACTGTCTAGAGTGGATGACTTGGTGTATGGGCCAGTGATGTGTGTGACCACGGGAAGGCTTCAAACCCAGGGACACTCAAGGGCTGGCCCTGTGATTCTCATCACACGCCCAGTCTACCCCTTGCTGTCCATTCAAAGGGATTTTGCAACCCACAGACCCCCTCCCAGCCTCCCACCATTTTCCCAGAAGCTTTTTGCTTATTTTCCAGCCTCCTTTTGTTTGTGTGTTAATATTTACATTTATGTGTATGTGTGTCAGGAGGTGTGGAGGCCAGAACAGGGCATTGAACCTCTTGGAGCTGGAGTTAACAGGCCAGCTACCAGGAGCAGAGGTCACCTTGCTCGTGACCCCACGCATTGGTCTCTGCCACCATCTGTGTACTCCTTGTGAGTGGCTCCTGTCCCCTAAGGATTCCCAACCTCCACTGAATGTCACCTGAATAACCTCAGCCTTACACATTGAGCACAGTGGAAGGCGGGAATCCACCCTCAGCTCCAGCACCCTCTGGACTGCCAGCTGTAGATGGGGCCACCTCAGACCTATCACCTCTCCTTCCTCAGCTAGATGTGTCCATGTGTCACAGACTCAGCTCCCAGTGAATCCTAAGAGGATGCCCCTCACAAGATGCCCCCTCCTTTGAGGGGGTCCCTTCTGCTCTCCTTAGCTCTTTTTTTTTTTTTTTTTTTTTTTTTGGTTTTTTGAAACAGGGTTTCTCTGTGAATTTGGAGCCTATCCTGGAACTAACTCTTGTAGACCAGACTGGTCTCGAACTCACAGAGCTCTGCCTGCCTCTGCCTCCTGAGTGCTGGGATTAAAGGCATGCGCCACCACCCCCACCACTCCCCCACCACCCCCTCATCTTCCTGCAAAGTATTTATTATGTCATATGTGTATGTATGTACTTGTGTGTGCAGATGCCTGTGGAGTCTCTGTAGTTGGAGATAGTTGGGTGTGAGCCACCTGACTCGGGTCCTTTGGAAGAGCTATATGTGCTTTCAATGACTTAGCCTTTTGTTTTTTAAGACCAAGTCTCTCACATAGCAGAGACTGGCCTTTACCTACTGATCCTTCTGCCTGCCTCCCCAGTGCTGGAATCCCAGTTATTCCCCATTATGTTCTGCCATTAATGCCTTCTTACTGTTTACAAATCTCTGAGATGCCAGAACCCTGAACCCCATTTTCCAAATGATACATAGACTTGCACCCATTCCAGAGGCCCTCGGTTACCCCTCCTGCCCTACCCCTCCTCTTCTTCTTTTATTAATTTTAAACTATTTAGTATACCAACCAGTTTCCCCTCCCTCCTCTCTTCCTGTTCCCTCCCCCTACCTCCTTTCTATACCCTCCATCCAATCCTCAGAAAGGGTAAAGCCTCCCATAAGGAGTCAACAAAGCCTGGAATATCAAGTTGAGGCAGGACCAAGTTCCCCTGTCAGTCTAGAGTCCCTCTGGTAGCTCCCACAAGCTGGGGTCAACTGACCCCTCTTCTTTAGCCAACCTTGCCTTCCCTAATCTTGGATAGGTGACTTTTTGGCTTTAGTTGATCCTGGGACTTGGCCAATAGTGGACTGAAAACATGTCCCTGGGAGTCCCAGAGGGAGAGGAAACAGGCAAAAGTAGAGACAGTGTCTTGCCTGAGGCCAAGCATTCAGAGAGGCTGCAGTCCCTGCCAAGTGCTCTCCACTGTGGGGCCACAATGGAATGTCAGCAGCTGCTGCTGCCGCCAAACCCAGGCCCAGGCAGTGTCTCTGGCACCATTGGCAGAGGCAGCTCAGTGCTGGAACACTGCCTGACCCTTGCCTCAGTTGGCATTGTCGGTAGGGAACCATGAGGCCTTCCAGGAGTTTGCCTGCCTCCCTCCTTCCCTCACTCCCTCCCTCCCTTCCTCCTTCATCCCTCTATCCCTCTCAAAGCCCTAGTAGGACCATAGTAGGGCTCTATTCTCTGGATGGAACATCATTCTCTTTGCTTGGCCATCTAACCCTATGGTTACTGAAGCTGTTAAGGTTGAAGCCTAGGCTCTGGTGGCCCTAACAATCAAGCTGAGTCATTCATCCTCAACAGTCCAATTAAATACCCAAGTAGGTCTTGGGTTGGGGCTCTGTTGGACAGTGCTCACCTAGCAAGCCTGAGGTCCTGGGTTCCATTCCCAGCACCACATGAACTAGGCATGGTGGCACACACTTGTTATCCCAGCACTTAAGATGTTGAGGCAGGAGAATCAGGAGTTCAGGGTCATTCTTGGCTACAAAACAAGTCTGAGTACAGTGTATGCTACAGGAGACCCTGTATCAAAAATTAAACGTGGGAGGCATGGCATAGTGTTGCATGCCTTTAAATCTCAGCACTGGGGAGGCAGAGGCAGGTGGGTCTCTGAATTTCTGACAGCCTAGTCTACATGATGAGCCCTAGGCCAACCAGGGCTACATAGTGACACCCTGTTACATCAAAGGGTGTGGCACTGAGACAGATGGTTTGGTGGCTAAGAGACAGCTTGCTGTGCTATGCAAGCAACAGGTTTGCATTAAAAAAAAAATTGGGTGTCTTCTTTTTGGTAGTGGGGGTCACACACTAGTGACACTCTTTGCAGTTGGATACTGCCTGAACCATTTGAGTAGTGTAGTAGCTACTTTTCTTGCTGCTGTGACCAAACCGGGGGGGGGGGGGGGGGGGTTAAAAAAGGGTGTGGCCACGCATGCTTGTCAGTTCAAGGCTGAGCCAAGTGGGCAGAAGCAGAAGGATGTATGGGGCTTGCTGGGTATCAGCCCAGTCTGGAGATCCAGGTTCAGGGAGTGGTGGAAAGCAAGTGTGCAGCCAGTGTACAACAAGACACTTGCATCCTGCACAGGCCTGCACACACTCACAAACCTGCAGTAGTGAGTGGCCACATGGCAAAGAGAGCAAGTGAAGAAGTCGGCTGATCCCCAAGTCCAGTTTTAGCTTCAGGATTAATTTTATTACATTAATTTATTTAATGTATTATGAGGGTGCATCTTACATGACAGCTCATGTGTAGAGGTCAGAGGACAACTTCCATGAGTCATTTCTGTCCTTCCACTGTGTGGAGACCAGGAACTGAACTTGGGTTGTCAGTGTTTGAGGTAAGACCCTTTACTGGTTGAGCTATCTTCTCAGAGGCCCAAGGTTCGTGTTTAAATAGAAGGCAAGAGGTCTGCATAGCTAAATGGTCCTGTTCAGGCAACAGTCCTTTGCCTCGATTGACCCAGGGCTGCCTCAGCTCCAGTCGCTAAAGCAAGGTGGTCTGACAGGAAGTTGGAACTGTGGAGTCTTTGCCAAAGGCAAAGTTAAGTTCCAATTTGGCTGCACCACGAATTCAGCCTTCTCCTTGCAGCATGAGAGCCCTGGAGAAGTTCTAATGTCTTGGGGTCCCTTGTTTAAATACTCTGATAGAGGAAAGGCGCAAGTGTGTGTATGTATGCCCACATGGATTTGTGTGTGCTTTATGTGTGCACACACCTTGGAGTCCAGAAGAGGGCATCAGATCCCCTGGAACTGGAGACACAGGCAGTTGTGCATTGCCAGTTCAGTGCTGGGAACTGAACCCCGGTCCTCTGCAGGAGCAGAGTGTTCTTGACCTTTGAGCCATCTCTCGGTGCCACAAGTGTCTCTTTAGAATATCTTCATTCTTGACAGGAAGGCTGCAGTGAATGAATCTGTGGGTGTCCCACGGTGGCAGGCAGACAGTGGCTTCCACAACTGTGAGACTGCCTATTTGAACTTGGGCAATTTACCTGGTTCTGAAACCTGAGCCCTTAATATTAAGCTTAGCCCTGCTTTCTCCCATGATCCTCTGGTGCTGAACTTGATACCCACTGGCCCTGCCCAAATTATGGGAAATCTGTGGATCCGGGTGTGGTGGCACACACCTTTAATTCCATTACTTGGGAGGCAGAGGCAGAAGGATCTCTGTGAGTTCGAAACCAGACTGGTCTATAGAGTGAGTTCCCGGACAGCCAAGGCTACACAGAGAAACCCTGCCTCGAGAAAAACAAAAGGAAAGAAAAAGAAAAGAAAAGAAGTCAGAGAACAGAGTGAGCTTGTAGATGGTCCTGGGGACCGGGAGCATAGGTTGGGGTATGTCCTTCAGCTGTGAGCACCTTCAATGCCTGTCTATAATCCTCCACTGTACAGAGAGGCAGGGCCTTGGACATGTTACATGCCATGGCACAGGTGTGTGTCGT